CCCTAGGGGGGGTGGTCAAGTTTCCTAAGTAACAACAATACAGAGACGTATTTACGTCAGATTCTCCGGAACCGTGGTTCCACTGCCACTTTTTCAAATTGTTGGTAGTTGAAAATATTACAAAGCGAATTACTCTGTTATAATTTGCTTATTCCCTACTACATATAAAAGGTCAATAATTAATATTAAATGTGTTCTCTATAAGAAGGAAATAAATTTAAAAATAACGAGAGTAGGCACTAAGAAAAATTTGCAATTTTATTTGCCCTTAGAAATGCCAGGTTTTTATTATACTTGATTAATTTTAAAGATGATTTTTGAGGTGCCCGGGCGCTGTTGACCGCATCACCCCTGGGCGAGAGAAATATGGTTCCTTTCTTCGAATCCCGGCAAAGATGTTCTCTGTAGTTCTGATAGTAAGCACTAGGGAAGAATGGCGCTAAGGCAAATTCTGTTTCTGGATAAGGATCTGATTAACTAACCCTGAAAATTGCACCTGAGTTCCAGAAGATGGATTTGTAAGACACTATCGAATTTCCCTTTAGTAAATACTGTTCGTGATATTTAAACTCGATAATTGCGGGTTGACGTGTTTGTTCGCTCACGGCTCGTGATTGAAAAATCTTGCGTGGTTTTCCCATAAGACCCGTAGCAGAACACGCCATATTTAACTGCCGTAAGTGAGTGCTGATTTTGAGGTAATGCTGTTTAAATACAAACTAGCAATGGCTGGGGGTTCGTCGTGCTGACCACACGTCACCCTATTTCTGGTTGAATGATCGTTCACCTCTGCTTAGACATGTGAAGTCGGCTTCGGCTCTCAGAGGGCTGTTACGCCATGGATTATTATTATATAAATACAATTTCGTATCAACTGTCATTTGTTTACCAAATTAAAACCAATAAATTTATTATATTTCTGTAAAATTAAGTCTATATCATTTTTGTGGTCTGAAAAAGTATTTACCACGTATGTAAAATCAGAAACTTGCTCTGTTATTTTCCCTTCTGTTTATATTTTTAGTGTCATATTTTTTCTTCATATTTCCATTGTTTTGGATTTTAAAGTGGAAATTTTCATATTATATTTGTGCGAAATTTTTGTTAGCTGGTATGCTGCAAATTGAACTTTTTTTCAAATTTTGTTATTAATTCTTTATCATCTGCA